GGCCATTTTTTGGTTGCAGCCATCATTGTTGTTTGGCGGGCCCGGGCTGGGGATTCGAACCCACCACCTTTAGGTGTATGTGGCTGGCGCCTTAGCCGCTTGAGCCACAGGCGCCGAGCCTCAAAGGGAGATTTTATCAAGATGATATCAAATAACAAATGGAGAAAAATGGAGTAGTAACAAGCTAACTATGTTGTCATATGTAATAGTAATTTTCTGAAATAAGTCTTTAAAAGAAAATAACATTTTAGGTTTAGGGGAGCAAATTCTACTAACTTCAGGAACCTGGAAGTTCATCCCTAGCCCTTGACAAAGATCCAAGTAAAGTTTACTTCTTCCTCTCTTTGATGCTGTTTGTCTGCTGAATCTCTATGGTGGTCCTGGTGGTTCCCAGTTAGAGGATGGGGTCTACTACTAAGTCCAAAAGACTTTTAGCATCTTCATCAGTCTTCCTGGACCTCCAAAGCAATCGATCCAGAGAGAGACCCCCAACCAATGATAACCCCAGAGAAAGGACCCTAAGGCCCAGTCCTAACCCTCCCTGTCCATGCCCCTGGCCTAAGTCATCCCCCGTCCAAAGTCATGATCCCCGCAGACACTCACAGGCAGGAGGAGAGCATGCCACACCAGGACGTTGGCATCATCACTCAACAGGTTCCGTAGGTAGTAGGGAGGCTTCTTCTGGAGATCTTCCAGCTCCTGCAGAAAGCACAGTGAGTGGCAGTTGGCCCAGGCCTCCCTACGTCAGCCCCCTGCCATCAGCAGCAGGCTGCCTAGGGCCAGAAGCTGGCAACGGCAGGGCCTCCATTTCCGAGCATTCAGTATACATATATCTGACACATCACCGAGTGCTATAAGTAAATTATCTGACTTTGGCCACATCACAACTCTGCATGTACTAGATGTAGAGAGAAGATATTCTTCTCAATGTTAAAAGTTGGCAGTAAACTCTCTTAGGAAATTTTTCTCTTGAAAGCAAAATATTTAACCTCTGCCCTCTTGCCTTCTTCCTAGAAAGTCAGTAGGCCATAATTCCTCCCTGTTCTTCCTTCCATCTGCATCCACAGAAAGAACACAGCAAAGACATCATCCCACCCCTCCAGAAGCTGCCAGACCAGGGCTGGGGGAGGAGAATGATTTAGGCAGACAACAGTGGAGAAATACTCTATGCACCAATCAGAGAAACAAGGGGATGAGCAGCGACTCACTTTCCTAGAAATGTGGCCCATTCACCTGGACATCACTGAATTCTCCCAATAGCCATTTACTGAGCATTTTCTATAGACACTTAACTAAGACAGGGCCCAGCCCTCAAGAACTTCAGGGGAGTAATAGACAAAACATGAATATAAACAATGAGTGTGGATACAAAGAAGGGAAGGCAATCAGAGGGGAGCAGGGAGGCTTCACAGAAGGTGTACACTGTGAGCTGGGCCACGCAGAATGAATAGGAGTCCACCATGAAGAGAAGGGGAGAGGCACCAAGTTAGAGCAAATGTGTACAGTGTGTCCTGCGGAAAGTTAACAGTTATTAGAGGAAAAAAGTTCCACAGTCAAGTATGTTTGGGAAAACTAGGGTAAAGAGGTTTCTTTACTCTAGGACTTCCTTAAGCCTTTCATATGCTATTACCCTCCAAGATGTGAGCTCACAGCACACAGTACTTCTCAAATGTATTTGGTCAAGGGAAACTCCTCCCCTTTTGAAGGACGACAGACCTTTTTTGTGGGAGGTAGATAAAAAGACATTCAAGGGCAGGTCACATTCCTCTGAACAGTCAATAATATAAATCAGTGGTCCTAACTGGGGGCAATTTTACCCACCAGAGCACATTTGGTAACGTCTAGGAACATTTTTCATTGTTACAAATGGGGGGAATGCTACTGGCATCTAGTAAGTAGAGGCCAAAAATGCTGATAAACATCCTAAAAAAAATTATTTGGCCCAAAATATCAATAGTGACAAGATTGAGAAACTCTTGTGTAAAGAAAGGCAGAGAGAAAGTTTCCCAAACCAACAGGTGGGGTGAGGCCCTTTCATCACTGTAGATCACCTGAACTTTCCCCCACCCAACAAATAAACACACTTCACTGCCTCCTCTTATCCTTCAGCTTATATTCCATTTCTGTTCAGCTAACAAATTCCTTCTGGTGCCTTCTGCCCAGAGTCTATGGCCTCTCATTTATCTTAACCCCAACTAGAACCATCTGTTACTGAAAGTTCTAATTTCAGTATTATCTGTGACTCCTTGACAAGAATGAAGCCAAGGCAGGACAGACATCTGGAAGAGACATTTTTCTGATTTTAATATAACTAGGAACATACGGACTGTACCTGCTACAAGTGAATTTTACCCAAAGCCTAAGAAAGTTGAAACCAAAGCTAGGACACTCCCCTCTTTGGAAATCACCTGACTTCAGAGAAACAGAAAATGAAAGTAGAGAGGCTATTAAAATAACCTGCAGGCTGAAGACCCACCAGCCTGGGCTCAAATCTCAGCACCATCACGCCTTACTGAATGACCCCAGACAACCAAGTTAGCTTCTCTGAGCCTCAATTTCCTCATCTGTAAAATGGAGGCATATCACTTATAGAGTTGCTGTGAGAATTAGATGAAAAGATAACTGATGTAAACTGGCATTTCATGGAGCCAGTATAATAAATAGTGGCTGCCCTCTCTTTCCTACTTGGTGGGAAGGACCCTCCGTCCATGTTGGTGTCAGCCTGAAGATTTCAGTTCTGGGCCAACCCAGCTGTCAGTGCCCAGTCTGAGACCATTTTCTTCTCAGAGGCTAAGAGTACCAGGCAACCCCTTTAGCTCTTGCGCCTGCCCTTCCTGTCTGCAGATTGAAGGAGCCCACCTCCTTGGAACCCGCCCCTCCACTCTGCAGATGGGAAGCCTACTTCTGAGAGTCACAAAGCCTGGGGGGTAGAGGGTGCCGGGTCCACCTCGCTAGGGTTTCTCCTCCTCCCCATCTATCTACATCTGGCAACATTCCAGTCCTCCAAACACCCTGGGTTTTCCCACCTCCGGGGGGAAACTACCTCCTCTCTATCCTTCAGATCTTGTTTCAAATTGTGCCTCTAATAGGAATGAAGGCTCAAAGAGGGCAGGATTTTTGGTTCATCTGTGTCTCCCCCACCTCCTAGAACAGGATCAACCCGTGTAGACATTCAAGATTTGTTGAACCACTGAATAAAAGCCACCTACTCCAGGAGGCTTTCCATGTCCATGTAGGTACCTTTTCCTCCGAGAATATCCGAAGAATTTTGCCCACAAATCCTAATCAACACCCGACTTCTGAGGACTCTGGTAATGTAGGCATCAAATCATGGGATTTTCAAGGCAAGGACCTTGCCCTGGTTGTCTCTTTTCACAGCCTACCCACCCACCACTACCACCGGCAGAACGCCTGGCACCAAGACGCCAAGGAACCCTTCCCGCACTTAATACACACTCAATTGTTGCCCTCAGTTGCGGGCAGGAGAAATGAAATGGAAATGAGTTCCGGGGAACCGCTCATCTTCACCGGCAGCACAGCTCCAGGAACTAAGGAAATCCCCGCCCCCACCCCAAACTCCAGCTCTGGCCGCTCTCGCAGACCCAGTGCTCCTCTGGGTAGGAGGCGGGGATGATAGGGATTCAGAGAGCCCCGGTGCCCAGAAATATAAACGAGCTCAAAGAACCGCGGAGGAGATGGGGGTAGGGGGAGGACGGCACGGGAAAAGGTTACCTTCGCCACTCGCTTGCTTGCCGTCATCTCGGAACCGATCGTGTGGCACCGGCGGATTCCAGCAGGGCAGTGCGCGAACCCGCGGACTCGGTGAGCCCAGCCCGGGGGACCTCGGTCCGGAAGCCCCGCCCACGCCCACGCCCCGCGCCACCGGCGCGACAGCTGTGCAGAGCAGACCTTCTACCTACTGCTCGGCTGAAACGAGAAGGCCGCCGAGGAGAGGACTCGCTGGGCCCGGGCCAGATCGCCGGCTCGGTGGGCCCCGGAACGTGCGCTCTTTGTCGGGAGACCGGGGCGGGCCCTGGAGCGCGCGGCGTCGCCGGGTCCCTGAGGCCCGCTGGGGGGCGCCGCGCACCAGGCAGCGAGAGCGCGGGAACGCGGAGCTGGGGTCCGCCCATCTCCGCCAAGCCTCGGGAACCTCGGTCTTCGTCATCCCCCTCCCCTCCACCCAGAATACACAGTCGTTCTGAGGAAGGAAGGGACGCTTGCTGCGCAGGCACAGCTCCGCGGTGGGTCCATGCGGCGGCGGCCTCCCGGCCCTAAGCCTCTCTTGCGCATTCTCGGAGGCCCCGGGCAAGTCAGTTCCCATCATGAGCCCAGTGTCCCAGCTCGAAAAATGAGTGGGGAGCAGCGTAGACCTCATGCTCTCCAAAGACCGCTCCCTTAGGCAGAGTGGGATCCTTTGTGCTGTCCAGCATTCGGTGACGGATCTGCAACGACGTTCGTTCTCCTGGGTCGCTTGGGGCAGAGCACCGCAAGGGGGTGCGTTAGGTCGATTCTCTTTCGCTTTTATTTGGTCGACCATCATCCAGTCCTTTACTAGGCTTAATATTCAGTAAGTGCCCACTCTATGTGGATTTGGGAAAACAGTCGAGTGGGGGAAGCCCCAGGATGGACCTCAGGAGCCTCTTTTTAAAGACAGGCTGCTCAGCCGCCCTTATTCTGCCCTGCCCTTGTACAAACTGAGCCTAGTATGTGTCCCCAAACACAGCTAGAAGTGTCATCGCTCTGTGCAAAGGCAGAGACCGGAACCCAGAGCGCTCTTGCTCAAGCGGGTCTCAAACTCCTATCGTCAAGCGATTCTCCCGTCTGTACCTGGATTACAGGTGTGAGCTACCTCACCTGGCCAGCCACTGCATTTTTAATAATTGTGGGGAGGGAATCCTCAGGACTTAAACAAGAGTACAGCCATTTTGAGAAGACAGCTAGAGCAAACAGACCAGAAACCAAACTATATGATCACAGCTGCCTCCCAACGCCCCCCCCCCCACACACACTTCTGGAATGGTTCAAGGCCAGTATTCCTAGGAAGTAACAGAACAGTAACTTTCCACCCTACCCTGCTGGCCCCCAGATTAGCTCCTAGTGCAAAAAATCAGCTCCTGAGGGAAGTAACTCCACGATGAACCTTGGTACAAAGATCAGTCCCTCTGCAGAAGGCAATGACTCCAAGATTAGCCCCCAATACAAGGATCAGTCCCTCTGCAGAGGAGAATGACTCTCCTAGCAACCCCCTCCTGCATTCCAACTATATTGATAAAGGTTAATAAAAGCCTCTTGGAGCTGGGTGACAGAGAGGTGACTTCTGGCCAGAGTCCTTTCTGCTCTTTCCTCCTAATAACATTTCTCCTTGATCCCAGGACTGGCCTCCTCTCCTTATGATGGACTGTCACCCCAGCTCAATCCTTGGACCCATTAATAATGATATAGAAAAATCACCTGATACTACGGGAGCATAGAGGAAGATCACTTGATCCAGCCTCAGAGAGGCACAAAGGTTCCTGGAAGAGAGAAAAATCCAAGTGTTTTACAAAGCATGAAGAGTTGGCTAGAGTAAGGGCATGGGATGCAGGTGTTTCAAGAAGAGTGAACAGCAGGAGCAAAGACAAGGTGGCCGTGTACATGGAAACTAGATGCAGAGCAAAGTCTCTGCTCCTTGGTCTCTGACCAAGTCATGCTCCTTGGTTCTCCTTCCCTTCTCTTGTAGAAATGCAGCATCTCTGAAGTGAATTCACCCCAGTCTCCCAGTCCGGGTTCTCCCCAAAACAGTTTGTAAGCCCATCTTTCCTTTCCCAATGCAAGTCAGAGTGAGCCCCAAGGAGGCTCGGGTTTTATTTTTCTACTTTTTAATTTTACTTTATTTTATTTTTTGAGATAAAGTCTCAAGCTGTCACCCTGGGTAGAGTGCTGAGGCATCACAGCTCACAGCAACCTCAAACTCTTGGGCTTAAGTGATTCTCTTGTCTCAGCCTCCCAAGTAACTGGGAATACGGGCGTCCGCCACAACACCCAGCTATTTTTTTGGTTGCAGTTGTCGTTTGGCGGGCCTGGGCTGGGTTCGAACCCGCCAGCTCTGGGGTATGTGGCTGGTGCCCTAGCCACTGAGCTACAGGCGCCAAGCCACAGACCCAGGTTTTAGTTCACATCTGTCCCCATGTGCAGCATGGTCTTAGATGGGCAGTGGAAACTTGGGTCTGCTTCCCAGGACTGTTGTGAGGATAAGCTCACAGAAGTAAAGGAACTTTGAAAATTATACATTCAAGTTATAAACACTCAAGTTGGAATCCCAGCTCCACTATTCCTGGCTGTGTAGCATTGCACAAGTTACTTAACCTGTCTCTCTGTGCTTCTGTTTCCTCATCTGTAAAATGGGGCTGATAATACTGGATGTGAGGAATAATGAATTGATATTTGGAAAGAACTTGATTTAGAACTGTAGACAATAGATGATAGTTATAGTAATGATATATAAGAAATACTAAAATGATGGCAGGTGGCTGTCCAAGAGTGAACATACTGGGTTGGAAGAAAAGATGCTTAAGCCTGCTCCTTCAGAGCAGTGGCAACACTTTCATCCCCGACAGGAGACCCTGCTTTATTTCTCTCTAATCTAGTCATTGGTGTTTAGCCAACCATCTATAGCATTGCATAAGGCCCTATGTTCAGTACTCTGTGGGACACAGGGGTTAGGCTGACTCTGTGTCTTCATTATTGAGTAAAAGAGACATATACATATGTGTAGATGACAAAAAGCTGCAGGAAAAAGACCTCTAGATTTATCTCTTTAAGACTCAGCCCTGCCAACTGTAAGACTTGCTATTTTCTTGTAAGGGTAAAATGAGCTAGTTTATGCGAGGGGCATCTCTAGGTGATAAAGTACTTTACCTATTTATAAAGCCTCTAGAGTTCTAGGCAAGAGATTCAGGTTATTCAGAAGTCTCCAGGAACCTCCAGTGTGCACTTGAGGGGAGAATTTGGGTTAGGAAGAGGCAGTTGATTTTCTTCCAGGCCCACGCCCTGGGCTTGCTTCTTCCTGTCTGGGGTAGGGACGGTTGATCTCAGAATTACCTAAGCACTGCTTATCTCCCACAGCTTAGAGATGTTCTTGGGAAACTTGAGACAGAAGAGAATTTCCTGCTTCTTATAATCAAGGACGGGATCTTCTTCTGCATAGCCCACACACTCCCTTCCCCTGGATTACACATACACATACAGACCTCTACATGGGCTGTACCATGTGCCCTGCCCTTGTGGTTGAGATAGAGAGGATGGCTCAGCGCCTGTGGCTCAGGTGGCTAAGGCACCAGCCACATACACCTAAGGTGGTGGGTTCAAATCCAGCCTGGGCCCGCCAAAAACAACAATGACAGCTGCAACAAAAAAATAGCTGGGCATTGTGGCGGGCGCCTGTGGTCCCAGCTACTTGGGAGGCTGAGGCAGGAGACTCGCTTGAGCCCAGGAGTTGGAGGTTGCTGTGAGCTGTGATGCCACGGCACTCTACCCAGGGGGATAGCTTGAGGCTCTGTCTCAAAAAAAAAAGAGAGATAGAGAGGATGATGTAGAGGCAGCTGTGGAGACAGGGAGTCCTAAAGAGGAAGTAGGCAGGGGTGTATGAACTTTTGTTTTTTTCTGCCAATCATTGGAAAGTTAAGAGTTGTCTCAGGCCACATATTAAATACACAAACATTAATGAAATCTTATTAGCAAAAAATAAAAGGTCCATGCATACTTTTTTTGATATCCAGCAAGAAGAGTCCTTGCAAAGTTGGCACGCAGCCCAGCCTACAGGCCACAGGTTGGACACCCCTGGGTATTCCTACTGCAAAACAGGAAGATGGGTTGGTGAGTCAAGGAATATGTTTCCTCAATGTGGCTCAGCCTCTGGCTTACTTGCTTCTAATGGGACTTTGGACAAGAGAAGCAATAGTAGCAACAGATAACAACAATAACTATGGGGAATTGGATGTGCCAGGATGTCCACTCAGGCTGCCATAACAAAATACCACAGGAATTTATTTTCTCACAATTCTGGAAACTGGAAAGTCCAAGATCATTTCCAGTTGATTTGATTTCTGATGAGGGCTCTCTTTCTGGCTCGCAGACAGCAACCTTCCCTTTGTGCCCTCCTATGACCTTTCTTCAAGTGTTGTGCTGAGGTGGTTCAGGGGGAGAGAGAGTGAGGCTCTCTGATGTCTCTTCTCTTATCCTATGGGATCACGGCCCCACCCTCATGACCCCATTTAATTTTTTTTTTTTTTTTGAGACAGAACCTCAAGCTATCGCCCTGGGTAGCATGCTATTGTATCACAGCTCACAGCAACCTCCAACTCCTGGGCTCAAGCGATTCTCCTGCCTCCGCCTTCCAAGTAGCTGTAACTACAGGTGTCCATCACAACGCCGGCTATTTTTTGGTTGCAGCCGTCATTGTTGTTTGGCGGCCGGGCTGGATTCAACCCGCCAGCTCAGGTGTATGTGACTGGCGCCTTAGCCACTTGAGCCACAGGTGCTGAGCCTTATTTAATCTTTTTCTTGTCTCATTTATTCTTAATTCCTGTCTAGAGGCTTCATCTCCAAACAACCCCACTGGTGATTAGATCTTCAACATACGAATGAGAACTTGGGGGGACACAAATATTCATAACATAGGCTTGTACAAAGTGTTTGATATGCATTATTATAATTGATCCATTCAATGAGCTTAATTTTCTGTCTTCATAAAATCTGTTCTTTTATTGTCTCATTTATGGGTAAAGAAACTGAGGCTAGGGAACTCACTGGCCTAAGGCCACACAGCTGTTCAGTCTCTAAACTGGAACTTAAACCCAGACCTGCTGACTTTCTGCTTTTTTTCTTCTTCATCTTTTTTTTT